AATTATGAAACTTATGTTTTTTGTTGTTGTGATATTACTGTTAATGTAAGAATTTAACTCATTTTTAAATTATCCCTACAATATATTTTTCATTGATTATAAAATAGATGAATTTAATCAGTTTACAATTTTCTTATTAATCTCCATCTACTCAACAAACACATCATGTAAAACTAAACGTAAGAAAACTAAAAATGATCCCTAACTTCATTGTAAATTGTAATATAAATTGTTTCCTTGACATATTTTATAAATAAAGTATACACAAGAGAAGACTAATTAGTAGTATATTAAAACAAGTTAAAGAGAGATTCGATTTAAATAGTGGAAGAATTAATCCTCTCCAGATTCTCTCGCTTACGCCTCCATGGAATCACTTGCTTAAACCCTTCGTAAACCCTTGCCTGCATTTTTATATATCGAATAATTGGGTTACGCAAATTACTTCCTCCACATACCCAAAAAAAGGTACAACAATTTTTCTTTAATAATTTCTTAGATTTTGACAATGAAATATTTTTTGTTTTTGTTGTTGGTACAAAAAATAATTGACATTTTATTAGACATTGCAATGAAAAGTTGATCTTTATAATCCGGAAAACCCCACAAAATTTTAGAAATGAGTAATTATTACTTAACACAACTTTAAATCAGAAATTGAAAAAGGTTTTGAATTTTGGAAAAGGTAATTTTTGAATTTGTTGAGCTGAAAAAACAAAACTTACCCAGAAATCTGACTTTGTTGCATGAGAGAGATTAAAAAGGCTTCCTTTCCTTTTAAACCTTAAAAGTTTCACTTTTGTGCCACCGTCTCCGGCGAAGTCATCTCCTCCTCCGGCCCAATCTCTCCGGCAATCGCGACCGCCGTCTCTAAAACGTGAAAAGTCAAATATACCCTCGGACACCTCTTTGCATTTCCCGAAACTACCACCCCATCTACTAGACCCAAACAATCTCTGTTCCTTCGCCGGCGCCGGCGCCGGAACTCCTCTCAACTTCCTAATCACAGACGCCGATCTCGGAAGCGACAGTGAACGGCAACGTAAATCGTAAGGACCGTCGAGAACAGTGGTCGGAGAAGGCTCGTTCGCCGTCGTCATCGACGATTTACAAGCTTCTAGCCTCGGAGGAAGCTCAAGACATCTCGCGACTCCTCTTTTATCTCCTATCTGATTCGATCTCGACGGTTTTCTAAGTGAAGAACGAGGCTTTCCGGGAGCTTCTTCCCAGAGAAAAGGAACAGATCCGGCGATATTAACCGGAGGTGTAGCTAATCCAGGAGTTTCGTAAGCTCTGTTCAATGGATATGAAAACAGAGGAAGCTTAG